CTTCTATCTGCCTACGAGAGATGTTAAACCAATTCTGGGACACCCTGTATATATATATGTACATATCAAATTAGTTTACGTTTAGTTAGAAAAAAATTAATGACAAGAGAAAATCGTTGAGAAAGTGTTTAACCAAGCGCAAATAGCATTTCCGAGGAAATAGCGCGTGTGAAATAACGTTTTGCGTTTTTCTAACTCTTTGATAAACGAGAACAACAATTGCACGTATATACATATATGTTGTTTCGCACACGCTATTTCCTCGGAAATGCTGTTTGCGCTTTGTTAAACACTTTCTCAACAATTTTCTCTTGTTATTAATTTTTTTTCTAACTGAACGTAAAATAATTTGATGTGTTTTTTCTGATAAATGTGTCAGACAATTTCGATAAAATGTGATTACACACATATTCCATTTCTTTTGTTTAAAGATTTTGCATTAACTTAACCGACAATGTGTAATTTAACATCTTCCGCAACTTTCTTTGAAGACTAATGCACATTTTTCTTCTCTCTGTTCCTGATTGTACAAAAAACTTTGAAAACATTCTTTTTGTAAAAGTTTTCACAACGAAATTTTATTACTTTTACCATCAGCAGAAGTTGCAAATTGTATTTTATTTTGTTTCTTTGCAGATTGAAATCAGTTATCCTAAACTTCTCTCGCACAATCAAATAATCGATCTGGGTCTTTAAATCTCTATGTAGCGCCGGCGGAAAGTTAAAAACTGTATTAACATAAAATTTTCTCACCTTTATAAAAAATGTCGACATGTAATGCAGATTCGGGTCGCTGATATATTACCGTTAGAAACGCAAGCGAAACATTAATTCGCCCGATTGTTTCTCTTCCCGAACCAAAAATTTCTTATTCCAATTAGAACAATTATAAATGACAATCGCAATTCTATTAATCTGTCATATCTTCGATATTACATTTTGTTTATTTCTCGAATACGCGAAAGTGATAACAAGAAAAAAATGCCTGTGTTTGCAGACATGAGTGTCATTAATGGGTGTCTGTCGCGCACTTTTCTAATCTGTCAAAGTTATCGATCCGTGTAGCAATAACGCTTTCTGTCAAAATTGCGAGCTTATCTATCCCACGTAAGTGCGGCGAGTTCATAAATTTTAATTTCGTAGATTTACACAATGAGGAAGAGGAGGAGGAGGAAAGTAAATTTGTATAATCGTTGCATGATAACGAGGAGCATGTCGCGAGAATCAAATTTAATTTTCCGAAATTAAATCTTGTCCGGGGGGTAGATGGGATGTATATTCAGGCGGTTGATAGACTCGTACTACGAACTTTAATTCAGGTTTGGGCTACGCTTTGTGACGTTTCTTTCGCGCGACGACGATTAAAAAGTCGTTCGAGATATATCTGTCGGATGCAATTCAACACAGATAAGATTTCCTTTCTGTCTCAGGGAAAATGCACATGGGCGGGCACAGGCGGACGGCGAGTTACTTTACAGGATATATCGCTGCGTTCGCTTTCCGAAATTGAGAGGAAAGTTCTTTGTAAGGTGGCTGTGGCGAAGCTTCAAGCTCTCAATCTAGGTGTTCACATCAGACCGCCAAGCGGTAAGTTTCCACGGATTCTTTTAATTATTTTGTTAAATTGAAATGAAAAAAGTCAAATACAGCCTCTCTCTCTTATTAAACTTTTTCTCTCTTGATTTTTCCTCGCGAAAAAGATTAAATTACTCGTCTGAACAAAGTTTTTATTTAGAATAACCGCTTTAGATTGTACGAAGTTATTTCGGCGAGACAAAAGCAAATAACTGTTCTAATTGTACAAGTGGATTGCATAATGTGGCGTCGAAATCGTATATTTAAAGTGTATCTCGAAATACGTTTGTCAAGTGAGTTTCTTCGATTTTCTTTCAGAGTCGCTTGCGAGCGGGTTAGTGACCACGAAGCCAAAGAAGCGTGCCTATCTGTTGAAGAGGAAAGCTCTCACGACGAGTTTCTTCGACAATAAAGAAAAAGGTGAGCAGAAAACGCAATATTCGTTAATCGCGCGACTACATTGCAGTAGGTATTTTTATCACGATGAAATACAATTGTGCGCCTGCAGAATACCCGGTGATATTATTTATATCGTGCAATGTACCGGGTGTCTGAAACAGTTTTGTTCTTCACATACGTTTACAGACTCGAGCTTATCGTTTCTCTCACGCGTTCATTGGCTCATATTAATTAATTAATATCTTTATTTGATATTTTAACCCTTCGCGGACACACCTCAAAAATGATCTATGACAGACAGACTGGGTCTATGAGACCCACGCGACGTCAAAAGCGAATATCGCCGTGAAAAATTAATATTTTTTCAATTTTGTTTTTTTTGTTTTTTTTTTAATCAAAAGTTTGAATGATTCTGCGTCGATAAAAAAAAATAAAAAAACTCTAGTATTTTCGAAGATATAAGAGTTTTAAAAAACTAATTTTTATTAGAGCGTAATGTTTGAGTGAGTCTGGGAGACCCATATCTATCCGCAACGGATTAACTATTAATATCTTTAGTATAATAACTATTGCAAAGTTTACGCAAAACTGTATGTGACTTTTCTTGTGTTCAAATTGACCTATCAGATTAATTAGATTTATATTAATCTAAGATTAGGGTTAGTTTCAGATTAATTTGTCCTTACACTTGGGCTGCGTCGAAAAGTTTTAGACACTGTGTATAGTGACAAAATGTCTTCCTCAATTAAAACTTCTCTCAGAAACAAAGGGAATCACCACTCGATATCAATGCAATTTATTTCTAAGATGATCAAATATAGAAACAAAAGAATTATTGAGTCAAACGTAAGGGTTCAACGAAACGTTTACGTCCGGTCAACGAGTTCCTCTAGTTAGTCTTTCTCTCTTTCTCTCTCTCGTGACTCTTCATTCTCTGCACGACCTATAAAAGAAGCTTATAATAGTAGCATCGAAAATTTGAATAAATTTTTTCAGCACAAAAATCTTCATATGTACACTTGTAAACATAATAATTATTTAATGTAATTAGCCAAATTAATAATAATACTTCTAAATTATTATAGACTATTATATTATTATAGATTGACATTCCGATTTTTTATGTTATTTGGGCAAACGCCGTGACAAAACAAAATTTTGCAATTTATACTGGACACAAGAACACGAATTCTGATAAATAAAAAAAAGAATGCAATGTAGCAGCAAATCGTGGAATTTTGTTCGAGCGAGTCAATAATTAAATATAACGTGCGCAGTTTAAATGTGTAGAAAACGTATTTAACGGCCGTAATTTATGGCACAATTATTTGTTTGGAGAATAACTAGTTCAGTTATTTTCAGACAGACGCAATAGCACTTGTTGAAGTTTGGGAAAAGGAGCGCTCTATCACTTGATACGTTTACGACAGTCCCACGCATATGTATATGTTATATATATATATATATATACATGTATGTATATATACCTGTATATATTATATATACGCTGTATATTAATTTTATTTATAACATATATATGTTATAAAAAAGCAAGACCTTTATTATTTGTTGCAACAAAGACGAGAACTGTGTTTCAAATTTCTGATCTATTTTTAATCGGTCGCTAAACTCGCTATTTCCAATTCCATGCTTGAAACATTATTATGGAAAGTATAAGTGAGTCATATGTACGGGGTGTCTGTAACTTTTTGACACGACCGAAGTGTGAAGAGGTAGAATGGGTCAGTCTGAACAGAAAAGTCATGTATCATTTCGCAAATGCGAAAATAGAACGAACGGAAAAGGTCAGCAATGAATGCGTAAAAAAGTCACATGTGTGTTTGATTAGAAACCAAAACGAGAGAACAACGAAGTTGATATCACCTCTCCGCAAGAGTAATTCGTTAACGTGCTAATTCCATGGTTTTTTTATTCCCGCTAGAAAAGCGTTGACGTCATTTAAATCCATCGTTTTTATCCACATTTTCAAAGGTCAAAGATAAGCGAGCAAAATATCTAATGACTATTATATTGCTCCAAGTGTATTACTTGCTATTTTTCCTCATGTAGTAAAATAGAACATATATTTTATTTATATAAAATCTCATTTACTTTTTATAAAAAAGAAACACACAATCAAACATTAATAAATAAATATGTATAATTTGTTTATAAGATGTCTGAAACTTTTTTCACACACACTTTGCACTTATTGGTTCAAATAGAAATCTTTGTGAATATATGTTATATAATCTTATTAAGATTAAAAATTATCAGAAATAAATATACGTATATATAGGATATCCGAAAAATTTTGACCACAAGTGTGAAGATAGATTGAGTTAATCTGAAGAAAAGTCATTTGCTATTCTGCAAACTTCGCAATATTTATAGAATAATTAATTAATAAATGTAATTCACTTCATAAATGTAATTCAAGCGCGTGGGAAGCGAGGATTCGGATTCTGTAGGCGTATATTCAGTTCTACAGAAAAACAGCTTACTTCATCAATCTTTAATAGCAAGAAGCGAGGCACACGGAGTGTGAACATAGCTTTTTACCACGATCAGCTGATTTCCAAAACTGATGTATTGTCACTTCCTACGTATAATTTCGTAACTCCACAACCCAAATTTTAAAGGAGAGCAGTTTAAAGATTTAACACTTTATATATTTTACTTAGTTAAGGAATTCTTTCGATTTTCAAATTTTTCTTATTACCTTACCTTACTTATGAATATTTTTTGAATATCTAATGACCATAAAAAACATGAATTTTTAAGTGTCACTATGTAATAAACTGAAGATCCCGTATGTGATTATATTTATGTAATTATATGTAGGGAGTGACGATATACACGTCTACAGAGACTGTCGCTTCTCACGCGCTCATTGGTTCACATTAATTAATATCTTAATAACCATTGCAAAGTTTCCAAATTGTACAAGACTTTTCTGTTCAGATTGATCCAATCTACCTTCGACCGTATAAAAAAAAAGTTTCAGACGCCTTATAAACTAATTACGCATTTTTATTTATTAATGTTTAAATATTTATTTACTAATTTTTAAGTAATTACTTATATGTGTATTCAGTTGTTTAATTCTTGACTACGAGAAATTCAGAGTCAAGATATGTGAAAACATTATCCGTGAGGTAATTAACAGCAGCTACGATCTCACACACAGATTACAGTAAATTATATCGCACACTCTGTCATACTTACATGTACTCGCAGATATTGTAACGTCTGCACCGAATGCACGGAATGCAGATTAGACACTTTTGTAGATCGCGCAGGACAAATTTTTTTTTGTCGGCCGTTCTCATATCGTTTGAATCGCTACGCAAGCAAATGAAACTGCAATTTCCTGCAACGAGCACGTTGCTCTGTTAACATCGTGCTCTCATTCCGTCGCATTTCGGCAAACTAATTATGCGGTCGCGCAATTACGCTTCCAGTACTGTTTGCGCTACACTTTTGCAACGCTCTTAACATTTCAAATAAGGATACCGTCTGTGAATATTGTGACGTACAAATCGACTCGGACAGATTGGTGTTCTCCGTGAAATCTCATGAAATATTATTTCTCACTGACATATTGTCTCAATATTCCGCGATGATGGTCCCGAGTTCGAATCCGCTCACCACCTAAGGAGTTTTTCCGGGCCGGTCCTTTCAACCGAGTTGATCGTTGAACTAAACCGGGCCTCCAAAAATTAATTCGGGTGTAATCCCGAATTAATTCTCTTCCCACAAGGCGATCATAGTCACAACATCTTGAACACGAGCCCGACACAGATGGACACGCCCACTGTGAAAGAAGGCCGTGTATCGCGTGGTAGTAGTATACTACACAAACCCTCCTTGTGACAAAAACATAATAAATAATAATTAATTAACACAAACCCCAGATATTTGGGGTCTACTTGACGTATCATCTCCCATAAAGACTCCTAGAATGGCGTATGGACTAACCTTAAGGTCTTCTGTGCCAATATGCACCAATACCAATACCAATATTCCGCGATGGACGTTACACGCGAACGCAATTTCACCGCGAACGCAACATGTCTTGCACGCATATTTTTTCAAAAATCATAAAAAAATAAAAAAAATAGAAAATGTATCAATTTGTTTATTGGATTAAATTGAGGATGAGCACGCGCATTCTCCGAATAGAAATCGAGTCAGGTCGGTGGTAGAATAACAGAAATAAAATTCGGCAGCTTGGTGGTCCGAGCGTGGAAAACGCATCTACTTATCCATGTGCAGCGACGCGGCGACGAAAGGCGGGCGCATCGGCCGGCCAGGCTGATATGAGACACAATTTCGCCAGTTAAAATTAGCCACGGGGTGCTCGCGCACAGTAGCGTATATATTTCCGCATATATCAGGTTTATTTGTGATCCGGATACAAGTGCCTATGTGTAGGGACACGTCAATCGGGAGTCTCTTTGCCAGCGAGGTCGCTCACTCCCTTTAAAGCACTGTGTTTTCGCACATGTCTTCTTACCAAAAGATCAATAAAATAAGCATATATACGTATATGTATATAGATACGCGCGCGTATTCTATATATCTAAATGATCTAAAATTACAATTTTCAGAAAAAACAAATAATTTAACAACTGTGACAATTGTTAAAATATAAGAGTGCGTCTTAAAGGGAAGACTTCAAACTACAAGAGAGAGAGAGAGAGAGAAAAAGTATATTTAAAGCAAGATACACTTATTATTACCGATAATATATTTTTAATAGTAATAATTAATAATAATTAATTTGTTGTGCATATTGTTTTATTATTTTCTTTATTTTTCTTTTAATATATGTATATTTTTGAAGATGTTTTTTGGGTTTAAACCGCGTTAGTGTCATTTTTATACCGACGTTTCGTGAACATTTCAGCTCACTTCATTTCAAGAGCAACCTGATAGTATCAGGTAACCCTAATGAAGCGAGCTGAAATTTTCACAAAACGTTTCAAGAACAACCTGATAGTATCAGGTAATCTTGATAAAGTGAGCTGAAATATGTTCACGAAATGTCAATATAAAAATGACATTAAAAATGCGGTTCAAACCCGAAAAACATCTTCGAATGTTAATACAACACATCGCAAAAGCATCAAATATCAAATATGTATATTTTCTATTTTAATATATATATTTTTTAATATATGTTATTAAATATGTACTATTAATAATAATATGTATGTATAATGTTTTGTTTCTTTCTTTTATTTTTTATTTGATTTGTATTATTTTAGAATTGTAAATAATTGTAAATATGTGTACAAAGAAATTTATTAATATTCAAAAGCCTGGTAAACTCTTTGACAGCTAGACAGAAGTTAGCGAAATAGACTACTTGACAATCAAATGAAGAAACAATTCTAAGAAGAGGACTTAAACATAGTCGCCTCTCAAATACCTTCGTCTTGTTTTAAGCACGTGACTCCGCGACCGTAAATTTCACGCTCTTGAAAATATGTTAGCACGATCAAAATACACTTACAAACAAAGTTGCAACTATGTATAAATATACCTATTAGGAAATGTCAATTACTTAAACATGTGTGCAACAAGATACACCGAAGATATTTATATACGCAATATGTCCGTATGTTCGCACTCTTCGTGTCTAAATACGTACGCACATCAGACGAACCGACACATACGTACGGAGGTGGCAAAGTGTTGACGATCGAAGCCGATCGTTCTGAGAACGCTTCCAAAAAAAGGTCTCGTTCTCTTCGCATATTGTAGTTCGTAAAGTGGTGCGTTCCACGCTTGTTCGTAGGCGAGCACGTTTCGAAGAGAGAAGAGAAGCCAGGATGGCCCAGATCGCAGTCTATAATCGGATCGGTATAGGAACACGGTTTGTTGCTCTTCGGCTTTCAACTGTGCTTGAGAGAGAGAGAGAGAGAGAGAGAGAGAGAGAGAGCGAGAAAAAGAACGAGAGAAAGAGAGAAAGAAAGAAAGAGAAAGAGAGACACAAAACTTCAACGTTTTTTATCTCAATCGTCACTGGCCATTTGTGAGGAGATCGTGGGAACATAACCAGTTTTATTGAAAAGAAAACAAAAGATATTACTTGGTAAACAAGCGACATTAGAAAAAGATTTCCGTTGACTGTTTGCATATGCGGAATAGTAAGAAAGGTTTCCGTAATATTTGCGAGTGAAGATGAGAAAAAGACGTTCACAAGTTTTGTTCGATCGACTACTTCTCTTGAGCGTAGTTGAAAATCGAAAGCCTATACCGATCTGTTTATAGACCATAATCTGGGCCATCCTGGTTTCTCTTCTCTCTCACACTTGAAATAAAAAGTGGCAAAGTATTTATACGGTCAGCTAAAATTATTTTTAAAAAAAGCTAACGTTATTTTTTTTAACAGCGCTTTAAGAGAGCTAACATTGTTGTTTAAAAATCACAAATTTGTGCTCGTTTTTTTAATAATACAATCGTTTATACAAACATTTTTTACGATCGTAAACTTTAAGAATATGTGAAAAATTTCAATTTTTCGAAAGTTTCAGGTAGACACTCCTCGAAAAAAATTGTGTGAAATGTTTATCTTATCTTTTATGTGATTTTTGCAGATGCACCTGTTGGCTTAGTGTTCGGTATTCCTCTTTCGCAATGTTTAGAAAATGATAGAATTACCAGAATCGCCGCTAGAGAGATGTCCGATGTCGGGACTTTAAGCAGAAGTAGTAGACACGGTAGCAGAACCAGTTTCTCTAGTCTTACGGAGACATCGGTAGCCATCACGACGAAAACGGAAGAGGTAAGAAATTTTTAAGTTACCGGTATGAAAGATGAACGTACAACGCAAGTAGCGAGCAATTTTACGGACACGATGAGACAGTCAGTTCTTCAAATTCCATTGTAGAAAATCGTATAAATGTTTTGTAGAACATATATATATATATATAATTTAGTTTTGATCATTTTGTATTGTTTTGAAAATTTATATGTTCTTCCCAAGTATCTGTTACAATTTTTTTTTTTTTACCAAAAATGTAATATCAAATGTTTTTTTTTTCAAGTAGAAACGTAGATGTGCGCGATATTAACATCTGTATCGCAACTGTCGACTTCCATTGCCACTCAAGGCGTTGACCTGTATTACTTACGACAGTTTCTTTCGAGTGGTAAAGCTTGGCAGCTGATCGACCAACCATTAAAGATACGCCGCGGGCGGCGAGCAAATATAGAAACGTAAAACGGGATATCGCACGCGCGTATTCTACCGAGTGTGGAATTTATGTAATTCTGCGATCTTTCGTGTACACTAAACATGTTAGGAAACAATTTCGCAAAGAGAGCGTCGTGTCTTTTGTCTTTGAAAAATGTGTGTGTCCGCGCGCGCAAAGCGATACATTTTCGTTCTTACACACGGTCACTACCGTGTAAGAATGTAAATCTCCATTGAGAGAGATATCATTCATCTCTCTGGACGTGCGTATCTGCTGCGTATGATCCTCTAGTAAGACAGAAGATCTATGAATTATTGACTTCGCAAAATTTGGTTCGTTGCGACAAAGTCATCAAGGCGAGTGCCTCAATCAAAAACGCGCGCCGTCTAAAGTACAGGGTGATTCGAGATCTCTCGAGGTGACATTTTGTTGCAACGAATCTTCTTACCAAATAGTAACGTCAGGATCTGTTAGCTAATAGTACAAGGTAATTTACGCAGACTATTTGGTGGAGGTACCGTTCTCTGACCCGCTCGCCCGCTTCAAATACACACACCCTTCTCCTCTCTTTCACACATTGGCTTGACTTGAACGTACGCCCAATACTTACGTCGGTATGTCGAAAGAGACATCGGCAATGTCTTTCCCGTTGACGTCATCACTGACTGCCGACATTGCTAACACGGCATCATCCATTGCGTCACTGTGCTCTTGGGACGAAACAGTTTATCGACGACCACTTGCGACACGGGCCAGATGTCGAGCCTGCTGTGTACACACGCGTTCATTCTGAATTTATATCGAACGAATAGGTCATTCGAACAGCTCGTGATAAAATTGATATTGATCTTTGGAAAAAGTAATAATATTTATTTGAAAAAAAAAAAAATCAAACTAAAATATACTTAAAGACAAAAAAAATCAAGAAAAGTGAAGAGAAACACAAATATCTGTTTACGTTTATTTGATTGAGATCAAATCGCGTTACAAAGTATAAAACTAGCGTGTCGTAACATAATCAGAAATTGATGTGTCTCTTGCACTTGAAATGTTTACGACGACCGAAGAACTAAATAAGTTGTTCGCGAAACCCGAAATCCATTTTGTGCTTCATCGTCAGAAACAGAGAGAAAAAGAAATAGACATATATTTTATAACATGTCACTGTATGCGCTTTTTCTCTCCCATATGTGTGCGCAAGCGTACACGTTGCAGTTTACTTCTGGTCGGGGTTGATAAAAAAGTTATTCTTTCTTTATTTTTTTTCATCTCAAGAGATAAAAACATTCCAAAAAAACTCTTTGTTTCTCTCACATGCAATATATTTTTTTATTATATATTTTTATATTTATTTTATATTTTTATATTCTAAAAACAGAAAGAAAAAAGAGAAGTAAATATATAAGACACATAAGAAATGTCACGTGAGATCATATTCGAAATGAGAAAGTTATCAGAAATCTCTGATTAATCTATTTCTGCCGTCTCTTTTCCTGGCATCTTTGCGAAACCACGCCTAACATGATTAATCGATCGCATGTACGCATATGCGCACGATACGCGAAAAAAAAAAAAACGATATAGAGAATATCTCTCGTGACGACGTCACGTGTGTCGCCGCTAGGTGACATCATAGATCAGAGACGCGAATAGAATGGGAATAGAATCGCTAATTTTAACTGCGAGTTAATTAGAAACCCTCAAATTCCCAGACAACTGGATCGGCCGCTAAAATACTCGAATACGGAATGCGACTTTACACGAGCTAATCTGTTTAAAGGATTTAGAAAATTTGATTGTTTTTATAAGTAACACAGTGTGTGTTTCACTTGTGCGGAGTAATTGGCATTTCATAAAAAAAAGAAAAAAAGAGATGTAGAAAAGAAATAAAATAAAATAAAATTACTCTTTAAGTTTTCTGATCTGTAAAGTTAAAAGTCTAATTTTATGTGTGCACATTTATTAGTCACTTTTCTGAATAACGAAAACTGGAACTACCCCTGCTCCAGACGTATGAAAAAAAAGCTTAATTTACAAATAATGTTAATTATGTTAATAATATTAATAATGGGTTAATTAATCAATACAAGTTTGTGCTTCAATGCGAAATACAATATTTGAATGTTTCAATGCAAAACGCACTGATATTTGTTTTGATTAAACCAGGAAGGCTCGAGCGAGTCTCTGTCGTCGAAAGGTACTCCTACATTGGGAGGTGATTCCGGAATGCTCGAGCTGAGCGACAGCGGAGGTTCTGCCGGAAGTGAATGGGACACTGTGCCAAATATCGTCAGGCAATGCATCTGGCATCTCGAGAACACCGGTTTTCAAACGCTGGGCGTGTTTCGCGTGTCATCTTCAAAGAAGCGAGTGAGGGAGGTACGCGAGCAACACGTTTCTTCTAATAACTATAACACGCATTAACGTCTCGATGTTAACTTTTGAACATCATCACGGGAACATTTTTCAAGAATGATCAGAATCAATTTCATTGGTGAAAACGCGATATCATTTTCTCAAGACGAATTATTAAATTATTTACTTAAAAAGGACGCAATTATCCTTCGATACACATATTTTTCTTGATGTGTTTTTATTCTTAATGCGACAAAATGAACATTTATTACGTTGTTGTGATTCTTTACAGAAACGGTGAATATTTTTCAGCAAGATGATAATATAATGTTTAATTTCTAGTTTACTAGTAAATCCGAAATGAAAATATGTCTGCACTCTCTCACATATGTTCTCTTTTATATACTTTTACATACTTTTACATACTTCCTTTTTAATCGCGTTATCGGATTTTCTCCTCCATCTGTACAATATGTCTTTGTCCATTACTGCGTATTACAGCTATCAATAAGAATGAAATATTTATCAAACGAATCGCCAATTTGTCTCAGAGATATAAATCCACTCTTATGGAAAATGAATAATTTTACACTAACACACACACACACACACATTTCTGAAAAGTGACTATTTTTCGAAATATACTTGTAGTTTTATACGAAAATTTCAAATGTGAGAAATATTTGTGATAAATTTCAGTTGAGAGAAAATTTTGATTCCGGCCGGGAGACGAAAATAGGCTCCGATCAATGTCCCCACGATGTAGCCACCCTCTTAAAGGAGTATTTTCGCGATCTGCCGGATCCGCTGCTTTGCCGGGAGTTATATCAGGCCTTCGTACATACTCAAAGTAAGAGAAAAGGATTCTAACGCGATGGAAGCCGCGATTGACAAACGCTGCCACTATTTTCTAACACTTCCTGTATACTTCATCTCCAAGGAAAGATTTTAATTCGGGTTTACCGATTTGAAATTCGCTTGTTTCCTGATAACAAGATGTAATAATCGATTTTCAATAGTCCACGCTCGAACGAGAAACGTAATAAGCCGGCGATTCTTCTGTCGCAGAAATCAGGAACAGACGGCTGCAGCAAGAAGCGCTCCAGCATCTAATTCAACTTCTACCCGTGCCCAATCGCGACACTCTTTGGACACTTTTGACGTTTCTGAATGACGTCGCCAAATACAGCCAGGATTACAAGACTAAGGACGGGGAATGGTTGCCGGGGAATAAAATGGATAAAACAAATCTCGCGACCGTCAGTACCGCATAGCAGCACTTTTCTCCGACTTTGATCTCTTTCCAATATCCTGTTCTCGCAAAATGCGTTCGTCGCGTCTCGTTGAGTTCTCTCTTAGACAGAATATGCAAAAAGAATGTGTTATCAAACGCAGCGACGGAATTCCAACATTGCTGACGAGATTAAACTCTTTCTCTCTCTCTTTGGATTATCTTTTTCTTTACTTAAAGTAGTACTGTGTTAAGTGCATAGAAATCGAGTTTGTTACATCGCATAAAAACCTATCTAGAAAAATTGTTTTATGCAACAGACTGAAAATAAACTTTGATTCACAGTAGATAGAATTTATATGTTCCAGCGGAAATTCTCTCTGCACAAAATTGACGAATTAATTAATTAATTAATTAATTAAATATTCTCGATAAATTTCATATGTCAGTTGCGGAAAAAGAGCGCGTTAATTAGATGAAAGATCGATAACCACGTCTGGATTGGACGATGATACGCGAATCAGAAACGTTTGACCGCACGTTGCAGGTGTTCGCGCCGAACATTCTGCATTGCGTGAAACCCGGCCAGGTGAGATCAGAGATCTCGTCGGAGAGAGCCGAGGAGAGGGTGGACGTGATAAACGTGGTGCGAACTCTCCTGGAACAAACATCGATATTATTTACTTTGCCAGCGGCGCTATTGGACGAGGTGTATCAACATATGATGGACACCCATCCGGCTGAACTGGACATCGCTCTGTCCCGTCGCATCGAAGAGTAAGTTTTTCTCTGTAATCCAAATCTGACGAATGACAAAACAAAAGACGGAATATGACAGGGGAAACGAGAGAGCATCTCTTTTTTTTCTCTTTTTCCAAGTAGATTTTTTTTTCGCATTATATTTCATCATTTTCGTAACTTTCACGTGCGCGCGGAGAACAAAGTTTTGCTATTTATACAAACAGCGGGAAGAACTTCTTGCTGGTTCTTCTTGCTGAATGTTTTTTTGCTGTTTACGTAGCAACTAATCAATACGTTTCTTAGATCATATCTATAATAACTTTTCTAACTTAAAGTTATAAAATCCATCAAGTTATTTATCGCTTTCTCCCCTCCAAAGTATATTTTATAGCCATAAAATATTTTATTGACAATTTTTTTTTATACCTTCGCAAAATAAAGTGGTTTTCAAGTCGTAAATTTTGTCCTTGACCTATCGAGTAGTTTCGCGTACGTGAGCAGCGATCGATCGATGTCGATGCTGTGAGAAGTAACAATGTTCTCTACGCGTCCTTGCGGGTGTGGTCTCGTAACATTGAGACAAGAAGCGCCAAGAAGTTCTTATGTACGTGCTTTCACAGGCAATCTGAGGATGAAGCGGATCTTTGTAGTGAAGCGGAAACAGTAGAAGAAACGCTGACTATGTCGACCACTGTGGCAAAGGAGACGAGAAAGGTGATGTAAAATACTCGGATTATTCAATCTTAAATGCTACTTGAATTACTTAATCTTAGATGCTGTTACGTTCGAATCCAATTTATTTTCTTTGAAACTTTTACAAATAATAAATAAATTATTTATTTGAAATTTTTCAAGTTTTAATTTATTAAATCACCATTTTTGTGTTCCAGGTGTGGACGAGAGAACAGTGTCTACATCAGACCGCCGGTATTGGCAGCAATTTTGAACCAAGGCCACGAAGGTTCAAAAGGCCAGGAAGTCGAAGAAGAGAGGATAACAGAAGCGATAGCGTAGATAGCGGATCAAGCGAGGATCCTTCGGATCCTCGACGAAGATCCTCCTCTACAGTCATTACTGCTAGTCTTACCATACCCATGTCTGAAGCGTTTTCTTTACCTCTCGACATTCCTTACATCGAGGAAACACCGAAGTTGCAATCGAGTGTGGCCCCGAGACAGAGACAGAGGTCCATTTCCTCAAGTTACAGAGAAAGTTCGTGTGTTTCGTACAAAGTTATTTAATATTCAACACACACACACATACGCTCACGTGAAATATAAAGCTAATAAAAACATATGTTTCACATGCAGCCGGGAGACACGGAAGTGATAGCAATATTAGTTCCTTGGCGACTCAGTCGAGCGATCAGCCGCTGAGTTCCCCGCCCTCGTGGACGTCATCGTCTCCAACTAGTCCAGATAGCTCGGGCAACGCCGTCTCGTATATCCCAGATCAGCAGGCGATTCTTCAGAAAGTTTCTTTCACAATCTCGAGCAAAGTTAACCAGGTGAATAGGTCGGATAATCAGCAAGAAGCGAGGAAGAGCACGTCATACACGCCGAGCATCACCAGTATTGGCGGTGCGGTGATGAGGTGAGTGTGTGTGTACTTACTTTGTATATGTATCAGTGTGTATGAAATTGCTAAATTTTAATGCGAAGCTTCAGGCATCTCAAATATATCCTTTTATTCTTTGATGCAAGTTAAACATGCGCTCATGTGATTCAGGTCCAAGACCGCCGATATTGAGAGAATGCTGAAGATCTCCGGATCGAATGTCGAGTCCACGAGTCAACAGACGACGAGGAACTCGTCGGCGACCTCAAGCGACAGCAAGAAGTATACAAAGAGGCGATACACAGACTCGAGGCATCCGACGCGTCATATACCTGATTCCAACACTCTGACCGGCAAGACGTTGTCCTCCGCCCCATCGACGACACCCTCTCCTTCACCAACGGTGCAGAACCAACGCGTGCCGGTGCAGTCAGTGTGGAAAAGACGGGAATTGATCTCAAGCACTCCGGATGACGTCTAAATTGTAGCGATCGGGTCGAGAGATTTGGCTGTTAAAAATGAGCATATAGATATGTTTCCATCTCTTGCGCGAGATTGGGTCGAGAGATTTGGCTGTTAAATGTTGATCGCAAAATGAGCATATAGATGCGTGTTTCGTAGGGAAAAGAGTCGCCTTAAACTTGAACAAGAGCCTAAAATATGGAACGTGTCAAATTATAGATGTATAACTAGAAGTTTTGGCCGTCAATCTGCGATCGAGTTTAAAGTAGGTATCAGCAGGGTTTTCTGCCATGTATTAATCTTCTCGCCTGACGGATAACGGATCCATCCGGACCCAAACGCATGTCGCTTCTAAGTCACAATCGTTCAAAGTATGTAAACATTGGCGAAAGAAAAAAACATATATATATATATCTGTAAATATAATAAGATTCCAATGTATATTTCATATTTGGAAAATCGTTAAAAGCGATATTTCGCTACGCGTCCCCATTTGGATCCATCCGTCCTGCACGTTGCTAAAATCATCCGCCGTTCGAGGGTTAAAATCTGCCAACAGACTTTGCTTGATATCAAGCTGTTGATATGATAGTCAACTATTATGTTAACAAATTTTGCTAGTTTAAGAACTAGAAAAATGACAATAAACAATTGATCAAAAAACAGGGTTTAAACGTGCTCATATCCTTTAGGAGATCTATTTGTTGTCGGCGACTTTCTTGTGTGTGTGTTCTCTCTATTCAAATACTTTCCGCGCAATATATAATGAATGTATGTAGTGTCACATATCTCATGTTCGTGCGAATTCGTCTATACTCAGATTCTCAGGTATCGCTTTCAACGATCGATAGACTGTTCGATTAGCCTCGATACTAGACGAGTCCGTCTGGTTTCTCTCTTGACACTAATAGTGACTCATCTCGGCTGTTAATAGCATTACTGTGAAATTTGACGTATGGGTATACAATGACCGATATATGTGTGATTCTCACATTAATTAATTGTATCATTGTTCCTTTCATCTTTTTCATTACTACTGTGTTATTGCAAAAAAATTTCCAACATTTCTCTAGTTTATCTAGATAAATGTGTGACTTTATACATATATATATATATATATAATCTTTTATCTTTAAATAAATGTAAAATTATCTTATAAGTAATAATTGTTTTATTATTGTAAATTTCAAAATTAAAAAAATGCTCTGTTGTAAAATACAATAATAAGAACTAAATAATTGTAAAAGCCTTAAATTAGAATACTTTTTAATTTGAATGTTAGTTTACTAATTTTTCAATAAAATAATATTATTACTTACCTGACTCGTATCTCGTGGTCTCCATCCAGGTAAAATTAAAATTAAAAATTTGATTACGATTAATTTATTTTTTTCTATTGTCGTTCGCGATAATAGTCCATGTTGAGAGAGACACGCATGTGTGTCGTCATACTTACTGTTGTCGGTAAATTATCGTTAAGTTTTCTTTTTTCAGTCTGTAAGTTAATAAATAAAACTTAATTTTTTACATACACTATGCTTTTTATGTATTCTTACTTGAACTGGAATTTGAACCTCATTAATTAAACAGAAAATAATGTTACTCTACAAAAGCATAAAAATATAGTTTCTAGATATAACAGTTAGATATTTTCAATACAACCTCGACATATATCTTTACATACGTCTCGTGTTTAAAAGTGGAACATTTCCATTGACATATTAATCGATACAAATGATAAATATTTATTCTATAAAAAATTAGTCATGCGGGATTTAACATAGAAGGAGTAGTGCATTCAGGTTTTTTTTTTTTTTTTATTTTTTATTAAAACTCGTTTATTATTCAATTTCTCACGTGCCGTCCTTGACGAGCATTTTACATCACGATCTTCGCCAATAATATCATCGAGTACGTACAAACTTTACAAAAACAGTTGCTTAACCGATAAAAAGTTGGAAATGTAACAAATCTATTGTTTAGATTAGAACGTGAGAACGGATATGTATGTACAAGATACATATGATTACACACACACATACATATAAAGTCGTTCAGACTCGTAATCAATGATACAAATACAATCAATTCGCAATTGCTTGTGTAAACGTACATGTGATATTTACTATTACATTGGTAAACTGTAAATTGCCAACAATTTCACATAAATTTCTTTCTATATAATTCTAACGCAAAATTATACGTGCCATGGCAACTTTAGCTCGCACTGCGCGATACGATTTTTTTTGTTGTCGCAAGATATAAAGTATATTGGAACGAACGATTACGTGTGGTAGCTTTTCTACAAAAGATCCTGACACAAAAAAAAAAGATATTGCATACCTAAGAAGTCGCAACTATGTAATCTCGCTGCTTACCACAAAACTACCATCGAAAACGACTATAAGACTTAATTTCTAGTTTGATTTAATTTCTCACGTGCGCGACCGCTTCGCATATAAGATCGGCGCAATAATGAGTTAATAAGTTATTAAATTGCGAATTTGTGTACACACGAACGATCATATACATAGAAGGATCTCGATTGGGATACAATTTCTTCAAACAGTTGTAACACGCAGCGCAGAACAATTTTACGAAGGCCGGCTTTCGAAAAGTGTTACATAAATATCTATATGTGTGAGAGAAGTGAACGTATATATTGCATGATAACAATAATTACGATTACAATTATTAAAGAGTAAAATATAATACTATTCGGGTGGAACAAAAACAAATGCGTTTGTCTACCGATCTCCACAAGACGCGGAACATTATCTCTCGCGTATACAAACACATATGTAAGTTTATATAATATATATATATATATATATATATATATTTCTCTCTCTTTATACATACATTATATATTAAAACAACCCCTTGTTTACATATAAAATATAAATATATTTATACATTCATAGTATATATATATATATCTCTGTCTCTTTTAATTTTGCCGTTTTACGGCTAGCTGCCTATTCAGGGCTGGACGGATGCAATGCTTTAATGTGATTTTATCTTCCTCTTACGCGGAAGAAAAATATCGTTATAAACCTAATATACAAGAAAAACAAAAGAAAAAATATGCAGAGGAAAAAAAAAGAAAGAAAACGAAATTATACGTATCACGCACGCTGCGACTTTTACAGCAATTCGTTAACCGAAAAATAACAACTGACAATTACATTTATCTCTAAGAAAAAATTATATGTATAGTTGTTTTTAAAATACAAGCTTCATGTGCATTAATAAATGAAATCTAAAATTTTCCTTGTGTTAGATATCAATTAATTTTGTTCTACATGTATACGTTTATAACTTACAAACTGAACTTTCTGTTACGTGCATTTTACTTATAATATACTTATGCAATACAATATCAACTTCAATGTGTAACAATTTCTACATATAGGTGTTGTGAGTGTAATATATCACAAATATGATTTGATAATCAAAAGACGAGTAACGTGGATACTAAGAAGTACTTGATTGGACGGAGAATTATTAATAATACTAATAATATGCAACATTAATGCATGATAGTAATTGATTACAACATTGATATATTAAATCAAAAGATCTTCACGTGTTAATTAATTAGAGCAATAATTATTCAATTTTCGATATTACTGCCACGTACAGTAACGATGTTACTGTACTGAACTTTATATAGCGTATAAAGTTCGCAGGACCAAACTTATACAATATATTAGTAGAGATCAAATAAAAGAGAGAACAAAGTGCACATAAACTTATGTCCAAAAATGTTTATTAACACTTTCTCGTATAATAACGAGTCAGACTCGTGGTATCGATTACGGACCAAACACACGCCCGGTATCGAGCAAAGCGGATCAATATGAGACTTTATCCTATATGCACTATGGTTCGCGTTTTGTTTCAAACTAATTCATTTGAGAAGATGTTAAAAAGTTATAAACGTTCGAAGTGTGACCATTATACACATGTTGCCTCAGATGACTCATTAGACTTTAGAATCTAAGTCCAATTTTCCAATGCTATCGTTTGATACATTATGTCTTCAATTTAGAATTCTTAATCTTAAACCAAGCTAATGCCAACCCGACAAGAAAGAACCATTCAAAAGAAAAGTCGGTAAGGACCAGCAATTGTCGAAAGAGAGCTCAAGAACTTCTCTCAGAGAATCCAGGGCTGTTTCTAACTAAATTGCAAAAACATTGGGTGTGAATGACACTACAATACATCAAATTGCTGAAGAGGACCTACGTTACAAGTCCTATGTAATAAAAGTTCGACAAATAGTCTCTCCGAGACTGCCAAGATGAAGAAAGTTGTTCGCTATAATTTGCTTCTCTGTTCGTTGAAAAACAAAGCTGCGGGACGCATCAAGTTTTTTCGGACAAGAAAATTTTTTATGCCAAGGTAAACCGGAGAAATCGTTGGCTCGCTAGATTCCGACGATGTTCCCAGAATAGGTAGGAGTTTTCGGCTTCTGTTCACGTCCTAGGCGTCGTTTCTAGGGAGCGTCACGTCATGCCGCCACATTTCTTTCGAAAGAAAGAAACCGTTACAAAAGAAATTTATTTACGCGTTCTGACAAAGGTAGTAAAGCCGTGGATGAATACTGTAGCTGCCGGGAGGCTGTACGTCTTCCAACAGAACCGTTTACGGGGAATCTGACAGAGTGATAACCCAAAGTGTCCTCT